GTTGGGATGTTTTGAACCCAACCGCTGGGTCAAAACAACCCAATAGCTGGGTTTGTCCCTTTTTAACCCAGCGCTGGGTTATATTTAACTCAGCATTTTTTTAGAGTGTAGAATTTACATATTCAAGTATCAAATAAAGCTGAATTGTATGGATTATGCATTAGATCCTGTTTTTTTCTCACCTTCTCACTCCATGCCCATAATCCGATTCCAAGGAAAGCCACCCCAAGCAACTATAAAACAAGACAGATATGGCATTAATTCATAGAGACGTGATATACATTTTTAAGATAGCAAAGAAGATTAAGAAGTTTTAAAAGGTCATAAAACACATTTTTTTTAGATACATTTACAGTATGTATGCATTGCACATTGTTGAAAGATCCTCTGCAGTGAATGGGTGCCGTCAGAATGAGAGTCCAAACAGCTGATAAAAACATCACAATAATCCACAAGTGATCCACACCACTCCAGTTCATCAGTTAACATCTTGTGTGAAAAGATGCATGTTTGTAAGAAACAAATCCATTAAGACGTTTTTAACTTCCAACCAAAATACAAGTTTATAATCCATAATAACGCTTCCTCCAGTGAAAAAGTGCATCCTCTGTTGTCCTCTCACATCAAAATCCACCCATATATTTGTTTAAAACATAGAACTGTTCTGGACTGTTTTCTCTTGTAAACGGTGTTTGATCGGTTCATATTTCTCTCCTGATTCAGACGAGACGACTGAAGAAAGTGATATTATGGATAGAGGACTTGTATTTTAGCTGGAAGTATTTTAGTATCTTAATGATGGATTTGTTTCTTATAAACATGCAGCTTTTTACTTCACAAGATGTTAACTGATGGACTGGAGTGGTGTGGATTACTTGTGGATTATTGTGATGTTTTTATCAGCTGTTTGGACTCTCATTCTGACGGCACCCATTCACTGCAGAGCATCCATTGGTGAGCAAGTGATGCAATGCTACATTTCTCCAAATCTGATGAAGAAACAAACTCTTCAACATCTTTGATGATCTGAGGGCGAGTACATTTTCAGCAGATTTTCATTTTTAGGTGAACTATTCCTTTAAGATCAAAATAAAGAAAACGAGAAGTGGGTGGAAACTCGTGGACCTGAACATCAGGTATGCCATTCTGCATACTCATTATTGCTTTCAAATATGACCACTGTGTTTCAGTGGGGTCAAGACCTTGAGTCAGATCACCCTGTATATCACAAGCCATCAGAGACTTGGGAAACCTCCAGAATTTCATTCACTGTTCAATAAAACATTCACAGCTACATTTCGACAAGTCGTTGCAGTCTAAACGGCCCTGTTTGTCCCTCATAACGCTCCATCTTTTCATCATCAGAGCGCTCACTGTGCACAAGACTATGCCTCACACAAGGGTTTCTGTGTACATGAATTATGCAAGACAACAGTACAGTGATTGTGGGTGCAGGGTCTCTCTCATACAGTAGTTTTTACTAAAAAATGACCTCTAACTCGGACACTGTACAATCTGTCCTGTATTTAGACTTAACACACTGGAAAAAACAGACGTGGGATTTACTTTCGCTTTCACTCAGAAATTGTTGGTACATTCCACAAATAATTACAAAGAAATGGCAAGCAGCATTTGAATTAGATGAAATTTAATAGAAAGACTGAAATAGTATTTTCTTGCAAAACATACTCCAATAAGCTTTGTTTTATTTACAACTTTTAAAAAAATCATCTTTTTTAACAGTGTAATAATTAATACGAGTAGGCCTATATAGTCTCTCTCTCTCTCTCTCTCCAGCAGGGATATAGTGTGCATGAGAGATATGTTTGTTAGGTTAGGTTTGAACCATTGCCTATGTGCATCAAAACAGGCTGGTTACTGTGTAAAGTAGTGTTGTCAAAAGACCCGGTACTTCGGTACCAAGTCGGTACTAAAAAAATGAAAACGTTACGGTACCAGGATTTTTTAAGTACCGGTGGTACCGAGTACCCGGTCAACCCGGTTCTTGATGCGCTGTCCGAAAGGTGCGCAGATGCGCTCTCTTCATAAAAGCACTGAGACAAAGCATGCGTGCAGCGCGTGCATAACAGTCCGAGTGAAGGCTGTACCAGTGGTCAATAAGAATAAAGTGCAGATATGCTGTTCTAAATGGACGTCGGGAACTGGATATTGTTAGACCGCCAGCTCCCGTTCAAATTACACCAGAGTTACCGACCGCTACCGCGTTTTATTCGGGAATTTAATCCCGCGGCGCAAAAAATCTGGTCGGGAGAGCTGCGGGAATGCAGACCTCTAACTCCTATCTCTCCCACTCCAACAGCGCTTGGATTAAATGAAAGTATAGTCAAATTTTTTAATTAGCATGTTTTTGTGTTTTGCTTTGGTACCGAAATTGGTACCGAGAACCGTGGATTTTCACTGGTATTGGTACCGAATACTGAAATTTTGGTACCGTGACAACACTAGTGTAAAGCCTCTTATCAGCACCATCAGTGGTTAGCCTATCTATGTTCTATATACATGTTATAGATCTTATTGCATACGTTTAAACACCCACATCTCAAAATCAACCAATGTACAAAACCCAAGTTCCCACACTACTTCTTGTTCGTATCCATTACACTTGGATGCATGTCACAATATGGAAGAACAGATCTCTCGCTACTTCGGTTTCATCACAACTAGTTTTTTTTTGTACATTTAAGGAATTTTTAAATATAAAAAGTGGTTGCTAATAGAGGGAGACCTTGAGAGCGAGGCGTGAAGGACAATTTCGTTTCTTGGGCTTGATTACAAAAACAGACAGAAGTTGTGTGGAGCACAAAGGCTCCATTCATTCCCATTCAACTTTGCACGGCACAATGGAGCGAACCGGAAAACATGCAGATTTTTCAGCATCACAGGGAGTTGTTCGTGATATTAAAGCTGCACACACACCCATTTCTCTATGTCTCTGTGGACTGATACATGGATAAATGCATATTCCTTCTTGGCTGTTTGCATGTGTTTATTAAGCTTTCTAAACTCAAGTAGTCTGAAAGGTAGGGCATCAGCATCAGATTCAATCAGGGCATGGAAAGACACTAAAGAGAATTAAATGGATTCACATATATTCCCCGAGCAAACATGCAATATTATGATCATTTTCATAACAGCCAGCTGCTCCATTAAAGCTTAAGCATAATGGCTACCCCACACTCCATATTACAGTAGACAGAGAATTATATAAGATTACTTATATTATATAAATTATATTATTAATAATATAAGACTGTATGCAATGTATGGCTAATAGTTACATGCAGACAAAATAATATGTGCATTATTTTTAATATTTGCATTTATTTGATATATAATTATTTATTTTTTAATGTAGTTTATTACTGAATTGAAGCTGAATTGAAGTAATCCAGTCTTCAGAAATCATTGTAACATGCAGATTTGCTGCTCAAGAAATATTTCTTACTAATGTTGAAAACAGTTTTTGCTGCTTAATATTTTTATGATACACTACCATTCAAAAGTTTGGGATAAGTAAGATTTCATAAACAAAAATGGCACTTTTATTTAGCAAGTACACATTATATAGATCAAAAGTGACAGTAAAGACATTTATAATGTTACAATTTCTATTTCAAATAAATGCTGTTCCTTTGAACTTTACATTCATCAAAGAATCCTGAAACTTTCAAATCTTTTAACATCGCTACTAGCCTTTTTTTTTTTTTTTACAAAGAATCCTTTTTTTAACATCGACATAATAAGAACCATTATTAATAATTGAGCACCAATAATAACTGATAATATGAGCAGCAAATCAGCATATTATACTGATTTCTGAAGGATCATGTGACACTGAAGACTGGAGTAACGATGCTGAAAATGCAGCTTTGATCACAGGAAAAAAAATACATTTTAAAATATATTCAAATAGAAAACAGTTATTTTAAATTATAATAATATGTCACAATTTTACTGTATTTTTGATCAAATAAATGCAGCCTTGGTGAGCACTAGACTTTTTTTTTTCTTTTTTTTTACTTAATATAAATTCATAATGTTATTTTGCCTCATTCACAAGAGTTAAGCAAAACACAGCCTTTTTAGTTAGATATATTCTTGTTCACCATCTGGCATCATGAAAAGCATACTCTTGAAGGAAATGAAATGGCATAAACCTCAATTAAAATATTCCGTAGGTTAGCCAGAAAAATGTCACGCAGAAACAAAGGAGTGCTAATGAAGCCTGACTCACTTTCAATTTGCAAATGTATTCTGAGAGAGGAGAGCTATATTTTTGAGGTGTTACATGCTCCCATGCCAAAATAAAACTATTGCTTTAGTTGATTTTATTTCTGTAATACACAACTAGTCTGTTATTCTTATATAGGCTATGCTATTTGCAAACATGTTTATACAACATCTAAAATGCTTCTGGTACACAATTAAAAGAGACATTTTAATTTATGCATCTATGAATACATCGATTTGGGGGGTTTGTTTACCGCTTTATCCGAGCACCTTAAGGGGTGTCATTAATGTCAGCTATACAAGAATATTGAGCACTGCCCTCTGACTGTAAATAGTCCAGCTGCTTTCTGATATGTAAGAGAAATTACATTTTCCATTATGTGTCATGTTTCAGTAAAATACTTTGTGTGCAAGCTGTGTCACAAAACCCCCCAATGTTAACCCAAATAAAGAATGTGAAAAAAGACAAAAAGCATAACTTGGGTGAAATCATAACAAGAAATGATGACCTCATCATCCAGTTATAGTGTAATATGTCATGGCGAGTCTTCCTGAAAATATTAAGTAAAATATGCAAATGCCTGTCTATTTAATCTAGTCTAGTCTAAAATGACAACAGCAAGAAACACAATGAATTCGTCCTTTAAGAAGTTGTCAGCATTATTTTTAAGGGATAAATGAGTTCAACCAAACCAGTAACAATGAATAGTGTATTATGGGAAATATCAGCCTTTTTGGCAATACGTGACATGGACAATACTCTATTCAAAACTGGTTTCACAATCACTTTGTTTGAAATTTAAAAGAACTGTCTTACTTTTAAGATATTTATTTGTCTTTGTAACTAATATAATGTTTGTCTTTGTTGCGAAACATCACACCACATTGACTTTAAACAATTTTCAGGCTGCAAAGCAACAAAATGTGATTACTTTAAAGGGGGGAAATTCTTATTTTGTTTGGGTGGGGATTTGGGTATGGCATAATAAATATTTCTGAACAACTGTATCTGAAATAGCTGGGTTTGTCCCTTTTTAATCCAGCATTTTTTAGAGTGTAGTGTTACACCTTACCATGATAAAAAAGGTATGTATAACAACATCACTCTTTGTACTTGATATTATTTTCAACATTTTAGGGATACACTGTATATTTCAAAACTATAATTTGAAGCAGACAGACATGGGAATGTTATATCAAAGGTTTCGACACCAACTTACAGACCCTCCCGGGTCTTTCAGTAGGCTTCCTGCATTTTTTATAGTCACAATGTAATCTCTAGTCAACTCAGTTATTGTATTCAATCCAGGACACACACAGGATGCATGTGTCCCTCCATACAGTGAGCTCGATGCATTGCTTCAGAGAGAAAGCCGATTATCTGTAGTACGCACTTGACTCGGCGGCTGTCATGAACATCTGAGATAAAGGCTTGGTGGAAGATCGCAATGAAATGAGTTTATATTAACACAAACACAAGGCCGGAGGCTTCTGCTCCCCGCTCAACGTAGAGACAAATTGTGCCTGTCTTGTGCAGCATATACCGGCTTGTTTCAAACAAACGAACAAAAGAGCTGAATCGACAGGCGTGCGCATATATCACACTCACATTCACAAGCAATGACAGAAAGAAACACCGATGCATTAGAAACAAAGCCACGGTGCTACAAACGCAATCTCTTACCCAAAATATGATGTTAAATCCAAATATGAAATATTTGATGCAGCAGCTGACTTCTTGACCCTTGTAATGCTTTCCTGACATCATTTGGCTCGTTTTCTCCAGAAACAAACTAACGTTACTGGGTCACACAAAAGGCGAAGCAGGTTCAGTTTATTATTCCGTTCTTAGGACATCGATGTCAAACTGTCCCAGCAATGTCATTATCCGCATAAAAGAAACATAATGCTGACCAGCTTCAACAGCGCCTAAATCAAGTAGAAGGCTGACTGTCATTTAGAAACAACCCCGCTGACTTTAACCCAATGTATCTCGAAATAACAGCCGTAATTAGTTCACGTCGCTCTTTTTTTCACTTGACATGGCTGCTTTTGATTGACAGCTCTGGTAACCAATCAGCTGCTGCGCCGAGTCGCCTCCCCTCACAGGCACGCCAGAGTTGCCAAGTCCGCGTATTATACGCGATTTTGGACTTCTTTTTTTGTAAAGTTGCGTGAAAAAATCCCGGGTCGCGGTTTTTTGGGTTTATTAAAAAAAATATGGTTGCTTGTTAGGAAAACCTGACAAGCAACTTCGTTTCTTTTCATTTATGTTCACTGTATTCTCCAATGCATTGATTGACAATCTGTCTGCTCACAGTTAATAGCCAATCAGTGCAAAAACATAAGTGCTGTAGCGTAATTTGTCAAATATTCCGCCCCCTCCGCACGCGCCTTCTTCAATGAGGGATTGAAGAAAAATCACGTTCAAAAAGAAGGCGCGTGACGCCGTAATCCTTTTTCCTTTATAAAGTAGCCTAGTTTTTTATTTTTACAATGTTTTTGTAATGTATTAATTATCACGGGCTGTAAAAAAA